TCTGTTTCGGTATATTTCGTATTTCAAGGCATACCCCGAGGCTATAGGTATTATAGAGTACAGGACCATTCTGGAACATTCAACCTATATTATTTTTCTAGCTAGGCTGTTCATTAGCCATCCACTGTCTGCTATCTCAACCCTACAGCCTCCCATTATAATGGAAATCCTCAAATATACAATAATAAAAAACAGTCGCTAAATCTGACACTCTGTGAAATGTCTTTCGGTGAAACGTCGTTCTGTGAAGTGTGAATGCGTTTTCGGTGAACCTTCGGGATACCAAGGTGGCTACTCTTCGTGCGAGAGAGGACGCCGGCGGCGATCAAGTGCTCGCAAGTCTAGGGCCGTGTAATAGCAGCAGCCGCAAGTTACCATTATTACTCCGGTTCTGCATTTTGTTCTTCATTACTTGATAATTGAGAATGAGTTTACTCACAACGTCAATACTGCTGTGTGAAACAATGAAGTAAAAGCCAAAGGAAAACGACAACACAAATAATAATTCGGAAATACATAGAACAGTAATAGGTTTTTCATTTGACCCGACGAGACCACACGACGCTTCATTCAACAACTGCTTCTCCTCTGATGAGTTCCCCGCTATCATTGTGGAACGAAACAAGACTTGTCAGGAGTAATACTACTTGCTTTCGTGGAGTGGGGCTGGTGCACTGTTCGTGCTGTGGGCTGCAAGCGTCGTGTGGTCTCGTCGGGTCAAATGAAAAACCTATTACTACTATTTGACGGACCTTTGGAAGATGGCAACAAAGAATTAATACATAGAACACACAATTGAAATGTAAGATTGAACACAAAATCTTGACAAGACACCGTTACCATTACTCCTAGTAGGAGTAGAACAAGTAACTAATGTAGTACCTTACGTACATTTACTTCTTGTTCTAGCCTGCTTCCTGTGCTTTTTTCTGCTGTTGCTGCTTTTGTTCGCGCTCTCCCAGCTTAGCGCTATAAGTCTCGTTGTTTTTGTCAGATATAAATAACCAGAGTCCTTGTAGGGAAAAAATATGGATTCAAGCAAGTTTTCGTACAACACTCATCAGGAATCGTCGTTGTACTAAAGGACACTGAAACAAAAATTGAACTATTATAGAAAATCTAAGTTAGAGAAATAACACTGAGAGCAACAACAGTGAAATTTACAAGTGTGAATTTTAACAATCAAAGCGAGAAATGAACAAAGGAGAAAGGAAGGAAAGACAACGTGATAACACATAACAGCAGTACATTACACCTAGAACATTAACGGCCAAGCTTGGCCGCACTAAACACGACACGTTACTTGAACAATTTCCACCCAATTATACTATCTTTCTGTACACACAAATTAGGCTTGAACAGACGCTGATAGATAGCTTCCAACACTTTTAACTGTAGTCCATAACCATGACGACCACGGCACAATACAGTGAACGAAGAGTCGGAATACGCACCGCAACAATCAGGACTAGCCAGCAAATGATTGTACACTGAAGACTTGCTACCACGAAACCTACGCACAACACTAACACTCTCACCGGCACTCTCACCATCACTCCCATCACTGCTCTCCGACTCACTGCTCCCTCCGCCGTCCGTTCCATCCTCCGCTTCCTCTGTACTCTCTCTGTCTCGTCCATCCCGCCTGACCGGGTCCATTGAACTCAACTCGGCCGTCACCCTGCTATCACGTCCCTCCTTTCGCCCTCGTCCGCTGAGTGCGTAGCTTCTGTTATAGTTGGCTGTTGATCGTCTTGGTCTTTCAATTATGGGCTTGGATGGTGGATTAGTTGTGGTTGCTGTAGATTGCGTTGTTGGTGTTGGTGTGGGAGTTACTGATATGCAAGGTGGGTCTTTTTGAGTCGGCATTTGTAGTGTTAATGCAGCTGTCAGTGTTGCTCGCGGTCTGCCACTGGCAAGCTCCACCGCCGCAAGAACCGATGGCGGAGGATCAGGAGGAGGCAGTGGGACCGGGACCGCAAGCGGCACCGCCTCAGCCAAAGCCGCCGGGGGCACTGACGAGGGAACCACCGACGGCCGGAGCAAAGGCGGCGACACAAGCCGACCCGATGAGCCACCACGCCCATTCTCCTCCACCACCGCCACCAACGACGGCGGAGCAAGCACAGTCTGTGAGCCAGGATCCGCGGGTTGTGTAGGCAACGGCTGTGTGGTTAATGGTTGTTTTCTAGGTCGCCCTCGCTTCGGTCTTTGTTGTTGTGCGCAAGGTGGAAGTATGTGACGTGGTGTGTGTTGTTTGATGCGTGCGTTCAGGTGCTGAACAGTCCTACCAACATACCGACTAGCGCATTGTCGGCATTCAAAGTTGTAAATAAGATGACTTAAGTGATGGGCTGGTAGGACATCCTTCCGCACCGTAAACGCACGCATCGTCGTAAAGACTGGCACAAAGTGTACTGCGTAGTATGTTCGACACAGATACATCGTATTCTCTCTCTCCCCCCCGTTTACCCGCAGTTATTAGTATCCTATTCTCTTACTATGTGCTTCCATAGCTTTTACTATGTTCTTCCATAGCCACTTCTAGGCTAAGCCTTCGCCGTCATTTTATTGGGTCGTCATCCCGTTTGAATGTGCGAAGTGAAATAAAAACCAAGCAACCAACGAGCCGGACCAATCATAGGAGCCTTCGTAGTTTGTTCGACTTTCAACAACTTCTGCAACAAAAACTCAGGGTACCCGTTCTTGACAAAAACTGACCGGAGAAAATCAAGCTCTTCCTGCAGCTTGCAGGACGAACAAATACGCTTCGCACGATCTACAAGGTTACGCACTAAGTTTACTTTATATTGAGACGAACAATAAGAGTCATATACAATGTACTGACCAGTAAACGTCGGCTTTCGATAAACGGTGGTCAGCGCGTCACTACTCGTTTTTTCCACAAGCACATCTAGAAATGACAATTTGTTGGACTGTTCATGCTCACATGTAAAACGAAGGGCAGGGTGAATACTATTCAACACGTCAAGAAACTCGTTACTACGCTCCTCATTATCAAAATATGTGAATGAGTCGTCCACGAAACGTACATAAAGGTCAGGCCACAATGAATCATCAACTTTCGACTCACAGTAACCGACAAACACGTTTGCCAATACCGGACCAAGGGGCGAACCCATCGCAACACCATCGACTTGTTTGTACATGACATTGTCGAACGAAAACTCAACACCAGTTGTGACCAGCAACAACAACCGTCTAAACGCACTTTCAGATATCCAAGGAGTGTCAACGTCATCATTACGGTACAAAACATCCATGCAGATGTCGACAGTTTCTTCAATGGGCACATTAGTAAATAAACTGACGACGTCAAACGAACACATGTGTGCGTTGGATGGTACAGGCTTGTTGCGGAGCTTCTCAACGAAATCAAAACTGTCTTTTACAGTGCGCTTGCAGTAGTAGTCCTGCACTGGTTGTAAGTAAATACACAGCCACTTGGAAATAGAATATTGGGGACTGGACATGTGGGCTTGTGTATTTTTGGTAAGCCATATAGCCTAGGCCGGAGGGTGCCTGTCGGTTTAATGCGATCGAAATCATTTGAGGATATTTCACCGTCGTCTTTCAGTTTCTTTAGGTAAGCTATTAGTTCTTTTTCTACTTTCTCTGTTCGATCAGAACTTTCAACTGGGCCGAGGGTCTGGAACTTTGATGTGTCATTTAAGATGACAAACATCTTGTCGATGTAATCGGTTCTGAGCATCAGAACTGTAGCCCGCCCTTTGTCCGGGCGCGTGACGATGATTTCCGTGTTTTTGCGGAAGTCACGGAGGGCTTTCATGTGTTCCTGGCCTAAGGAAAATGATCGCTTATCTGGAAGTTTGTCCGCATGCTCCTCAGCCTCAGCTCGGATCTTTGCTGCGCATATTGATTGTTGGGCTTCTGATATCGGTGTAAAACGTAATAACTTTCGATAAAACAATTCAAACTCGGTCATGATAACTTCCTTTTTTATTTGATGATGGGGGAACGCCAAAATCAGTGCCACGGCAAAGGAGCTCCTTCTGCACGGTAGTCAATTCCAATGGTGTAAAGTTTATTATTGTTGTTTCAGGATCGATGTTAACTTGGCCGTAACGTTTCCTTCTGAGCCAGTTATATGTCTTGTCATGTTTGGTGATAAGTTTGATCCGTTGTTTCTGGTCGTTCTCAGAAAGGAGCACTGAGAAACGAAGGAAGTCATGAGAGGACAAAAATGTACGTGCACGATCATACAAGGACTTAAACTGTGAACGAGACTTGCACACCGTGTCACCGGACCTGGCAATCTCATCCTTCATAAAAACTCGCTCAGTGTTCAACATGTGGTATGCCTTGGCTCGGTGAACACGCTTTTCTACACCGCTAGGACATACGCCATTGTCTAAACACCGTCTAAGAAAAACTACATTAAGGGCGACACTACGGTAATGAAAACGTGCTTTCAGCGTTAGATTCAGAACATCTATCTGAGGCTGGACTACAACAGAAGCTACGCACTCAGCGGACGAGGGCGAAAGGAGGGACGTGATAGCAGGGTGACGGCCGAGTTGAGTTCAATGGACCCGGTCAGGCGGGATGGACGAGACAGAGAGAGTACAGAGGAAGCGGAGGATGGAACGGACGGCGGAGGGAGCAGTGAGTCGGAGAGCAGTGATGGGAGTGATGGTGAGAGTGCCGGTGAGAGTGTTAGTGTTGTGCGTAGGTTTCGTGGTAGCAAGTCTTCAGTGTACAATCATTTGCTGGCTAGTCCTGATTGTTGCGGTGCGTATTCCGACTCTTCGTTCACTGTATTGTGCCGTGGTCGTCATGGTTATGGACTACAGTTAAAAGTGTTGGAAGCTATCTATCAGCGTCTGTACAAGCCTAATTTGTGTGTACAGAAAGATAGTATAATTGGGTTGAAATTGTTCAAGTAACGTGTGGTGTTTAGTGCGGCCAAGCTTGGCCGTTAATGTTCTAGGTGTAATGTACTGCTGTTATGTGTTATCACGTTGTCTTTCCTTCCTTTCTCCTTTGTTCATTTCTCGCTTTGATTGTTAAAATTCACACTTGTAAATTTCACTGTTGTTGCTCTTAGTGTTATTTCTCTAACTTAGATTTTCTATAATAGTTCAATTTTTGTTTCAGTGTCCTTTAGTACAACGATGATTCCTGATGAGTGTTGTACGAAAACTTGTTCGAATCCATATTTTTTCCCTACACCATTTCTTCATATTTCCAGAGTCCTTGTTCTGGACTTTCATTCCTGAAGTATACAAGTATGGTCCTTGCTCCAAAATTTGGATAGAACGTGTCTAGGTTAGTGCTCTAAGTCTCGTTGCTTTTTTAGTCAGATATTAACCAGAGTCTTTGTTGTGGACTTTCATTCCTGAAGATGGGCCTTGCCCCAAAATTTGGATAGAACGTTTCACTAAAAAGGAAGAAGCCGAGAGACCGTTTTGGGTAACGGTGTATATGAGACATATCGGGTAAAGACCAGAAACTGCGAAGACAAGCGATCTGCATCTCAGTGTGAGCAGACCAGGCAGGGAAGAACGAGGATGGCTACAGAAAGCGTGCCGACACCGGAGTCGGAATTGAGACCTCGTATTCCATCACTACAGAAGATGTGCACATCTGTAGCGGCTCAGGCCCTCGTTCGACCTGGCAGGGAGACATTCGCGCTGGAGCGCAGAGCGCACCTAGTAGTCATGTACCAGATACGGACATTTGAAAAGCTGAGGCGCTTTACGGCGTTCGATCTACTGGAATACGTTGCACATCGATGTCCGGAGCTGCTTACCGATGAGCTGGCTGGCCTCGTTCTGGGCCATTCGTATAAGTTCTGTGATGTAAACCTTTCCCACTGCACCAGCATAACGCAGGAGTGTTTGGTCGACTGGAGCAAGGCGTTCTTCTGCAAAAGTAGTGAATGTGCAAGTAGCGAGAGCTCAGCTGCAGCTAAGGCTGCAGATTCTCAGTAAGATTTGAAAGTGTACAAAGAATGTGTAATCTACAATCCTGCCTTGTGCCTGTCAACGAGAATTTCCCACCTCGGTAAAAGGGGTTGCAACTACGTGTTACTTCATGATCACCTTAGAAGGACTTTAACAACCCGACCAATAACGACTTCTGGGTCAAATTCAATTGAGTTCACTCTGCCCATAACTACTTAGCAATGTACACAATGATTAGGTGATGGGTAGGTCCCTCGTGTCGCATGCAGGCGTGATGAAGTTTTCTGTAACAGGAGTGGGCCGGCCCTGGACTGGGAACGCCCAAGGCCGCTAGGCATTACCGACACGACAGGCGGGTCACCCTGCTGCATATGAAGGAAAAACAAACAAATACCTGTATGGACCAGTGTGGCAGTACAAGAACTGAATCCAACACAGCAACATGTTAATTAACACTAAAATAACAGTGGCAACACGGTCAGCGTCGCCATGACTCCGGGCTGCCTGTGACTTAGCACTCGCCATGCCCTCAGGCTGTAGTGACGTGACGTTAAAAGCCACATGCCTAAAAGCCTAAAGGCTAAAGCCAAGGACAGCTCGTTGGAGTTCCATTTGGATTTTTTGTACATGTACACCTGTGGCAAGCTGGATAGAATCAGTCATGGCCATGACGAACATAAAACACATTGGAGAAATGGATAGGATCGTTGCATTCGTTGCAACGAACAAATAAGGTGCATACTGCGGGGTGATGGATGCAACTGAGAATTTAGGACACCTGTAGATTGAGGACATTTTGCCTCAGGCCTTTGGGTGTCCGTTATCACCAGGTTACACTGTACATGTACTTGGTTGTTGCTGTATTGCTATTTGCACAACCGAGTTCGTCACGTGATACTTGTACATGTACTCTTTACTTAACGGTGCTTATGCAGGACACAGAGGATTTACAGCAAGGTATCAACCCTGGACATCAGTAACACAGACTTGTTCAAAGTAGACAACAATCTCCCGGCCAGCACGGAATGGTGGCAGCGTGTCCTCCTTCCTTTGGTAACGTCCCTCATTCAAGTGAACGTGAGCAACACAGCAATCAGCGACAGAGGTGTTGAGGTAATTATTATTATTGTTCTGCTTGTTCCTGTTGACATCACCAAACAAGCTTGGCTAGTCTTCGCTAGGCTCCGGCGGATTACGCTCGCGAAATCATGGAATTATGCTTTCTCATAATTATTATGCTTTGGCACGCGGGGATACATATTCACTTTGTTGTACTTATTGAGCCTCAAAGTTCGGAAAACTGTGCTTTTTCGTACCTGCAAGTGGCCATATGTACAACAAAATGTTACAAGAGTATCCCCATACCAAGGTGTCCATGCACGCTAGAGATCAACATGGAAAAGAGAAAACATTACGTCTTCTATTCATTAGTCGACTTCTTTTAAAAATATTTTTTCATTGTTGTTTGTTTTCTTGCTATGGCTATCCCTGCAGTTGTTTGTTAGCTGGTGGGGTGTGTGTGGGTGCGTGTGGTTGTGTGTGTGTGTATGTGTGTGTGCGTGGGTGTGTGTGTGGGTGCTTGTGGTTGTGTGTGTGTGTATGTGCATGTTTATGCACACATGTGTGTGTATGTGTGTGGCAGGAGCATGTGAGTGAGAAAAGAAGTAGTTGACTTTTTTTCAAAAGATTTTTTCATTGCCAAATTAGTTACCTTTGAAAAATATTATGTTCAACTGTCTTCGTGATCACCATACTCATCCAACCGATGCCACCCTCACCCTGCGAATAATCAGCTCATCTCTCCCGTAACTCCACTTCTCCTTCCGTCATGACCGAACAGCAACTACAGTGTACCTCTTGAGGTTTTTTTAAATTATTAGACCAATATTCATAGCCTGCAGTGCACAGTCATGGCTGCTAAAATCCAGAGGCAGAGGTCATGACTTCGTAACATGCATAATGTACATGTACGCGGAGTTTTGCGGACTACCCGTCACTATCTCATCCGCCCCAGGATACTTGATAAAGGGTGATTCACTCGCATCTTCTGCTTCATGTACTGTATCAGTGTGAGAAAGAACTTTGAAAAAGACGAGTTCGAGCATGCAAAAATGTATTGCCATGATTTCTACCCTTCTTTTCATTGAAAACACTATCTGCATGACCTTCGAACCCTTTACCATGCAGACCGCCATCACTTATCAGGTGCATTGTACACAATTGTGTATTAAAATCAGACAATCCTAAAACACACACGAAATGTCAACTATTTACTTCCACAAATAAAACTGGAAACGGACGAATACATCAATCGTGTTTTGTTGCTTTGCCTCTCTGTATTGTCAGCTGTTATGATTGATGTTGAGGTAACCATAACATTATGCTGTGTTTTTGGAAGAAGATACTAGCGCGACTTGGGCGATACTTGGGGAATTGTGTGTTGCTCCCTACACGGGAGCTCGCGCCGGTTTACCTGCCGACTTGAATTCTCACTTGACTGACTCACGACCGCCATCCAGAGCACACGAGAAGTCCATCAAACCGTCCACTCGGCTAACCAGACCTGCAAGAAAGCACCACTCCCTGCTCAATACACAATTTTTCGGGGAATTCACCCTCACCAGTCGAGCTTGAGTAGGCTGAGGAAGACGTTGCCTGAAGAGCACCCCTTTTATAGTGCTCTCCAGTCTCCACGTACAAGCATCACCAGAGATACAAACTTACAGAGACGCTCCGTTTCCAGCGCGACAAACAAATCGTGAACACCATCATTATAGCGGTACGAGTCAGTGTCTCTCATGGAGGTGCTGAACAAGCGCTGAGGACCGTAGACCATTCACAACGTTGTTGCCTCCAAACCATCTAATTCGCAAGCCCGAGCTGGTGATAACAACGTGAAGCAGAGGTTGGTGCGACTTCGGCAATGCTTGGGGAATTGTGTGTTGCTCCCTACATGGGGGTTCGCGGTTGTCCTGCCGACTTGAATTCTCACTTGGCTGACTCAAGACTGCCCTCCAGAGCACACTGTGTTTCGGGGAAATCCACCCCTCATCAGTTGAGCTTGAGTAGGCTGAGGAGGATTGTGCCTGAAGAGCACCACTCCAGGCCTGCTCTCCAGGCACAAACATCACCAGGGAGAAAACACTGGAAACGGAGCGTCTCTGTAAGTTTGTATCCCTGGTGATGTTTGTGCCTGGAGAGCACTATAAGTGGTGCAATCTTCCTCAGCCTACTCAAGCTCAACTGATGAGGGGTGGATTCCCCGAAACACTGTGTATTGAGCAGGGAGTGGTGCTTTCTCAGGCAGGCACAGTGGGTTGGTCGAAGACCATGATTGAGATACGAGAGGTACCTTTTTTTCTTTCTTTTTTTTCTCTTTTTTTACTGAATACCACAAAACCATCAGATGCTGCACAGCGCGGGCGGGGGCATATTGGATGGAAGTGGGGGCGGGGCAAAAGTAACTCCTCCGACCAAAGGTCTCGGAATCATCGCTACTCCTGTGCGCCGATACATAGGAGAAAAGAACATGTGCATCCAAGAGGGAAGCACCGGCTTTGCAAACGATAATGGGGAGAATTTGAGATTGAGATAGGACATAACAATAGTAAAAGCAGTGCACCGTAGGAAGATGGAGAGAACTGTTAATCGTAAGGCTGAGCGAAGGGGATCAAAGAGGGGTAGAAGGGAGCTGGAGTGCGGTCAGTATAATTAGGCTGGTGTGTTGGCTGCGATGGAGAGATCATTACCTGTCTGTGGCCCACTCCCACTTGCTGCGCCGCAAGTGGTCTTTAAACATTTTTCTTGAAGGTGTGCATACCTCTGCGAGAAGGGGGAGACTGCAGAAGGGTAGGTGGGAGCTGATTCCACGTTTCGATGAGGAAGTGGGGAAATGAGCGGAGTGTGTTGTTTCGTGACCGAGGAGGAAGGATACTGGTGAGTTGCGATGGATGATGTGCTGCATATCTGGTTGTCTCACGAGTAGACATGCAGCATTGCGGTGCGGCTGATGATGGTGGCAGAATGGCTTTCACCATTTCCGGACCCCTACCTGGTTCAAGTCCTGCCTGGGAGCGGTTTTTCCAGCCGTGGTGCAACCCACAGTCAACTGGGAACTTGTGGCCAGGCACAAGGGGTACATGGATGCAGCTAATGGGGTTTCTTGGCTTTTGTGCCAGTGGTTGTGAGATTTATCCACTCGCCCCCACCGTTAGGCGCTGCATCTACCACTAGGGTTTACCGGGTGTTAGCGGCCGTCGTGAGTTCCCTTCGGGAACGGACACGATATTTTACTTACTTTTACTTAGTGGTGCTTGCAGGTTTGCTGAGTGGACGGTTCAATGGACTTCTGGTGTGCTCTGGAGGGTAGTAGTGAGTCAGTCAAGTGAGAATTCAAGTCGGCCGGAAAACCCCGATCTCCCATGTAGGTAGGCATCGGCGGCTAATGCTAGCATTATAGGTAGCATTATATGCTTGTTTTAGCAAACTAGCACTGCCGGGCATTAAAGTAGCATATCTGCAGCAAACTGGCATTATGGCCCGGTATGGGTGCTTTTGATGCCAATTACTGAACTAGCAAACGAGCGAAAACTGGTCACACGCGCAGTCTGCTGTGCATGTTGTTGTATTCTTTTATTTCAATTCAGCTCAGGGCACAGGCAATACTGCTCAGGGCACAGGCAATACAGCTCAGGGCACAGGCAATACAGTTCAGGGCACAGGCAATACAGCTCAGGGCACAGGCAATACAGCTCAGGGCACAGGCAATACAGCTCAGGGCACAGGCAATACAGCTCAGGGCACAGGCAATACAGCTCAGGGCACAGGAAATACAGCTCAGGGAACAGGCAATACAGCTCAGGGCACAGGCAATACAGCTCAGGGCACAGGCAATACAGCTCAGGGCACAGGCAATACTGCTCAGGGCACAGGCAATACAGCTCAGGGCACAGGCAATACTGCTCAGGGCACAGGCAATACTGCTCAGGGCACAGGCAATACTGCTCAGGGCACAGGCAATGCACCTCAGGGCACAGGCAATACAGCTCAGGGCACAGGCAATACAGCTCAGGGCACAGGCAATACAGCTCAGGGCACAGGCAATACTGCTCAGGGCACAGGCAATACAGCTCAGGGCACAGGCAATACAGCTCAGGGCACAGGCAATACTGCTCAGGGCACAGGCAATACTGCTCAGGGCACAGGCAATACTGCCTTCTCACCGGAGAGAGGATTCTCCGATTCCTACCAAAAACGAGAAATCTGCGATATGAATATGTATGAGAAAGATATGGGAAAAATGAATAATGATGATGTCGGGTTACGATAGTTTAGTTGTTATGCGAGATTTCCCTGACGGTTACAGATGAAGCGTTTTTGGAGGCAAATGTCCAGAGAGGATGCGAGAACAAAATACAGCGTTCCGGAAGGCAATGGTGCACATAAGTAGAGCGTAAGGCAATGGTGCAGAAAAGAGGTGAGAACTTACAAACAAGGCAATCGTGCAGAAAAAGAGGGAACTGAAGAACTAGCGGTTCTAAAGGCTAAGGCACGAAGAGGTAGGGACCAGCGACTCAATACAGTGTCAGATGATGCTCTTGAATTCATCCTTTTGTGAAACACATCTAACTTCAGCCGGCAACTTATTCCAGAGAATGGCACCTTGGAAACAAACGGATGGAGGACCGTCCAGCAGGACCCGGAAGGAAGGGGACACGTAAGAGCCATGTCACCTGTCCGCGAGTGGCCCTTCGGTCATGATCTTCTTGAGAAGGTGCGGTTGGGGTGAAGAAAGACGAGAACAAGTGACTTGACAGAGAGTGCAGGCAACGGAATACAAACATGAGGAGCTTTCGCTGAAACAATCTCTCAATGGTGGACAATGAGAGTCTCTCTCGTAGCGGCTGAGTCGCGATCGGGTTCTGCAGTCGTAGGATTGCTCGAACGCCGGACTTCGCCGATCTTTCGAGCCGAGTGAGACCAGCGGCAGACAGCGAGGGGAAGAAGGCGTTTGCGGCGTAGCACAGCTTGGCTTGTATCATGGCAACATACCATATCCGGCGGGCCGTGATGCTAAGTGCATCCCCATGTCGCCATAGACGACTTACGGCCTTCCCTGTCTGGCTAGCAAGGTGTTGGATTTGGGACCGCCAGCTCAGGTCGTCGTCGAAAATGACACCAAGGTATTTTGCGGATGACACAAGGGCAAGCTCATCTCCATTGCAGCAGACGCGATCGACTGGATCTTGTTGCCCTCGAGGCTTCAGAAACATTACTTGGTGTCTCCAAGCCGGTTACTGCTTTCGAGAGGAACTGCACAACAAGTGCTACATTTGCGTGTGAAAATTCTATCACGATGTCGTCAGCAAACTCCTGATGGGCGATAGCGGCTGGTAGGATGTCGCTAGTGGCTCTAGTATATAATACAAATAGGAGGGGGCCAAGGACACTCCCTTGTGGCACGCCTCGGCTGCAAGCTGTTTCGGGCGATAACTCGGCTCCAACCTTTATCCGCTGATGCCGACCGGACAGGTAGCTCACAAGCCACTCCAGAACCTTGCCGTGAAAACCCAGTGAGTGTAGATCTATGACGAGACGTTCATGTTGGACTCGGTCGAACGCTTTAGACATGTCGACCATAACAACACCGACCGTTTTTCGCTGGGACTGTGCGTCTTTCCATCTGTCCACCGCTAAAACCAGCGCATCCTCAGTAGAGTGGGCTCGGCGGTAAGCAAACTGCGTGCTGGGGAAAAGACCCTGGTCGCTCAAGTACCGATCCAGCTGGTCCTCATGCATGTGATTGAGGCGTGGTGTCTCCAGCGTCATCTGAATCATTGTGCCCGTACCCCGTCTATTCCCAGCTACAATGTAGCAATCCAGCGCTGCTTCACTCCACTCTCTAGTACATGACTGTAATAGTCTTCCATACCGTGATACGGGTCATTCCGGTAGTTCAACATGACATGGCAGGCTTGTGATTTAGGCGAAAACCTCGCAACATTTGTGATGATTGTGTTGTTGCGTCAGTCAAAATGCTACATGTTGCAACTTGCAAGTCACGTGGTTCGGGTAGTCAGCTGACCGGTTACATGTAACTGTTTTCGCTCGTCCGCTAGTTCAGTAATTGGCATCAAAAGCACCCATACAGGGCCATAATGACTTATGTCAGTTTGCTGCAGATATGCTACTTTAATGCTCGGCAGTGCTAGTTTACTAAAGCAAGCATTATAATGCTACTTATAATGCTTGCATTAGCCGCCGATTCCTACCTACAATAAAGGCTACATGGGAGCTAGCGGTTTTCCTGCCGACTTGAATGACTCACGCAACATCAGTGATGTTTTGTTGCGGCGGTCAAAATGCTACATGTTGCACCTTGCAAGCCACGTGGTTGGGGCAGTCAGCTGCCGCTTCATGCTTCAGTACTGACAGTAGTTACTACACTACCTTCTACAAGTAGCTTTCACTCCAGTCTCCAAGCTTCACTGCCTACTATGGCTATGTTCCTCATTTCGAGAGAAAGACTAAGTGATAATTCGGATGGTGAGCCAACATTAAATTTTTGTCCTCCTTTTTTCACCAGAAGTGATAATAATTATTATTAGTCACCTAACCTTAGCCGATCTTCCTTCCACTTTAGTTTGTGTCCGTGATTTTAATAGCGGGAGCGGCCAGGGACAATCTACGAAGGTGGTACATATCAGCCCTGCCGCTAGAGTTACGGAGTTCCCTCAAGAGTTTCTGACCATCACTACGAGGTGATTTGACTTTTTTTTAACATGGTTGTAAAATGACGTTTTTTCAGCCACTTCTAGGCAAGCTACGTCCAAATAAATTGTTGCAAGTGGAAGTGCTATCCTTCATGCCTGTTGTCTCAAAAAATGGGAATGATCCCACTTTGGAAAGTGTCTTGAATCTTGTCCTACTTTCATAGTATTCTCAGGGTTCAAATAATTGGTGTGTCATTTTTTAACAAATTTGTAAAATGGCATCACAAACCGGGATATTCGGTCATCAATGTTCTGAAGTTGATAGATATCACTTCAAGGAATGCCAGTGGATGAAAATTAATCTGTCAACTGCATTGTATGCTGCCGCAAAGCCGTGTTTTTTGTATTTGTAACTAGTGGCTGTGTCATACGGTAGAATTGGATAGGTAGCATAGCATCGCAGCCTTGTTTTCGTTCTCACAGAGTGTATTCCGTGACCTACTGTTCTTCATTGTTGTCTTTAGTGATGGCAAAACGGCCTGACGTCGTCCAAAGGCCCTGCGGAAGCAATTCACTGCCCTCGACCTCCTCGTCCATTCAGGGGCTTATTTTACACATTTTACACAAAGCAGCAAAGCACCCACCACTAGTTATACCGCCGTGGCAGGGAGAATTGAATTATATGCACCAAATTGTCTGGTCAATGTTGATCTCAGTACGATAAACTGGCTCTCATTTGCCACCACCCATGTTTCGATACAGCCAACCGGAGCAGAGAAACAGCCAGAAGAAAAGCAAATTTTACACATTTGTTAAAAAATGCCAAATGTTAAAAAAAGCCAAATTACTTCGTACTGGAAAGTTATTTTTTTCAAGCGTGTCACCTTATAGTGATGCCAAAAAGGCATAATGCCATAATGCTCCGGAGCTACATTGCCGCAGCAAGCAGCAGAAGGTGAAAGCTATCCACTTGACCTGTCTCATGGAAGCAGTACCCGGAGAGGGACAGACTCAGTGAACAGATAGACGAAACAAGCCTCGCTAAGCCGCCTACACGGTTGCTGCAGCTGATGCCGCAAGTTCTAATAATGTTGATCATCTGGCATGGTGGAAAGATCAAGATAACCTCGTCAATTGGCAGGAGGCTGTGAGGATTATGCTCACCATTCGACCCTTATCTGCAGCTCCTGAGTGAGTATTCTTCTCCTGAGTCAGGAATGTCATACCGCCAGCAATGTACATTGGAAGATCGCATCAAAGTTGAGCTAATGCTCAGCTGCAGTACAATCATGGGAAACTGATTAGGGAGTTGTGAGCTTACAACTGATGTCCATACTGCACAACGAGAGGCAGAAAACAATGTCAGTAGTCTTGATTTTGTTTACCCCACCAGATATGCATTCACAGTCAATGAAAATTATATTGAAACCCAAACGGAATGTTTGCAATTAATTTTATATTTGCCAGACTGTCATACGCTGCAGCCTATTTTGAATTTATGATGTTCTTTCCGATCCTTTTTACCCACACTTGTCACTTTGGTTGCAGAACGAGCATTCAAACGAGCATTATTTGCTGAAATAACGAGCAGTGCTAAAAGCAGTATTCGTAAAAAAAATAAAGGAGCATTAGCCGTCGATGCTTACATGTATGGAGCAACACATAATCCCCTGACCCTGTGTTTTGGAGAGGGCTTTATTTTTCATTGCCTCTCAGAGACAGGGCTATATTCCAGACAGGTTACGATTCCAGAAAGGGCTCTAATTGTTCCAGAAAGGGCTCTAATTGTTCCAGAAAGGGCTCTAATTGTTCCAGAAAGGGCTCTAATTGAGCAAATATGGTACTTCATCTCCTGACTGCTTTCTACTGTGATCAAATGATGTCCAGGTTCTGCTAACAACGTGCACACAACTGCAGAAGCTGGATATATCGCACTGTCAACGGTTGACCAACAGCATGTTGGATTTTGTCAGCGTCGATCCTCCAGTGTCTGTGTCAGAGGCCGGTGATCGAGAACACCATCAGCTTGATCCCAGCGCTATGCCTGCTGTTGTCATTGCACGGAACCTGAGGCATGTATTGGCCTGCAACACGAATCTGGGCTTCGAAGCTATACGCAACCTAGCGCTGATGTGCCAAAATCTCTTGGAGACCGTGGACATTAGTCTGTGTGACAGTCTCACCACTACTGCTCTGCTGTGCCTGAGTGGTTACGCAGTGGACAAACTAACGCCGGATAATCCACCTGGCGATGTATACTTGCAATCTCGCCTGTCTGCTACCCCGGAAGTCACAGACACTATGCGGCAGCGTCTGTATCACTGTGGGTATGTTATCCGAGGACGGGCATTCACACCTAATCTTTCAACGGTGAACATTACTGCGGTGCCTAGGGCAGACACTGAGAGTGACATTTGTGCAGCACTGTTCTTCATGAACACCTCCCCTACTCTGCAGCGACTGACCTGTGGCTCATTAATGGGAGTCGTACAGGCAAAGGATACAAAGCACCTTAGAAAGTATGCATACCGTGAAGTCGTGAGTATCAGTATATTATGTGTTTTGTGTGTGTGTGTGTGTGTGTGTGTGTGTGTGTGTGTGTGTGTGTGTGTGTGTGTGTATGTGTGTGTATGTGTGTATGTGTGTGTGTGTAGGGGGGGGGGGGGGTATGTACGTACATGTATGTGTGTTTGTGTTTCTGTCTGTGTGTGTATGTAACGTTACAAGTACATGTATGTGTGTATCTGTGTGTGTGTGTGTGTGTGTGTGTGTGTGTGTATCTATGTGTGTGTGTGTGTGTGTGTGTGTGTGTGTGTGTGTGTGTGTGTGTGTGTGTATCTATGTGTGTGTGTGTATGTGTGTGTGTATCTATGTGTGTGTCTGTGTGTGGGTATGTGTGTGTGTGTGTGTGTGTGTGTGTGTGTGTGTGTCCCATATGGTGCAGTGGTATGTGCAGTCGATTTCCAATCGAGAGGTTGCGGGTTCAATTCCTGACGGTTATGGTCGCACACGTCTTTCTTCTCTTTCTCATTCTCCTAGCTCTTCTTTCATTCTCCTGGGTGGTTACCGACAGCCAGTGTATGCCGGAGTATGTGGCGTGGTGTGTGTGTCGAAAAAGAAAAAAGAATGAAAATGGGAAAAAATGAAAAATATGGATTCAATGGCCAGAAAAAGCCACTTCAATCAGCTGTGTGGTGGATACCAGGCTAAAAATTAGTGGCGGTCAATTCATCAGCCTTGCAAGCTGTT